TTAACCCCTTATTAGCTGTATCATTGGCTAATATGTTCTCCCATATAGTGAGCTCCCTTTTCATTTTGTTGATGGTTTCTTTGCTGTTCAGAAGCTTTTTATTTAGAAATAGTCCCATTTGTTTAATTTTTCCTTTCTTTCCCTGCCCCTAGGAGATCTATCAGCAAACATATTGCTATCTGAGATTTTGCTGCCTATGGTTTCTTCTAGGATTTTTATGGTTTCATGACTTTCATTTAAATCTTTCATCCATTTTGAGGGTTTTTTTTAAAAAAATCTTTATTGTTGAAAGTATTACATAGGTCCTCCCTTTTCCCCCATTAAGCTCTTCCAGCCAGCTCCCATCCACCCCCCCAAGCCCTCACAACTGCATTGTCTGTGTCCACAGGTTATACATTTATGCATACAGGTTCATTGATTGATCTCTTTCCACCCACCCTCCCCCGCCTTCCCTCTGAGGTTCAACAGTCTGTTCATGCTTCTATGTCTCTGGGTCTATTTTTGACCATCAGTTTATTTGGTTCATTAGATTCCACATATGAATGAGATCATGTGATACTTAGCTTTTTCTGACTGGCTTATTTGGCTCAGCATAATGCTCTCTAGGTCCATCCATGCTGTTGCAAATTTTAAGAGTTCTTTTGTTTTTATTGCCACGTGTAAATGTACCAATTTTTTATCCACTCATCTGCTGATGGGCATGTAGGCTATTCCCAAATCTTAGCTATTGTAAATTACAGTGCTATGAACATAGGGCTGCATATATTCTTTCTGATGAGTGTTTCGGGGTTCTTAGCATATATTTCTAGAAGTGGGATCACTGGGTCAAATGGGAGTTGCATTTTTAATTTTTTGAGGAAACTCCATACTGTTTTCCACAGTGGCTGCACCAGTCTGCATTCCCACCAGCAGTGTACTAGGGTTCCCTTTTCTTCACAACCTCACCAACACTTGTCTTTTGTTGATTTGTTCATGATAGCCATTCTGATAAGTGTGAGGTGATATCTCATGGTCATTTTGATCTGCATCTCTTGGATGATTAGTGACTGAACATTTTTTCATATGTCTCTTGGCTTTCTGTATGTTCACTTTGGAAAAGTTTCTATTTAGGTCATTTGCCCATTTTCTAATTGGATTGTTTGTCTTCCTTTTGTTAAGTTGTATGAGTTCCCTATATATTTTGGAAATTAACCCCTTATTGGATGTATCATTGGAAAATATGTTCTCCCATGTAGTGGGCTCTCTTGTTATTTTGTTGATGGTTTCTTTTGCAGTGCAGAAGCTTTTATTTTAATGTAGTCCCATTTATTTATTTTCTCCTTAGTTTCCATCATTCTAGGGGATGTATTGGTAAACATATTGCTACGAGAGATGTCTGAGCTTTTGGTGTCTATAGTTTCTTCTAAGATTTTTATGGTTTCTCATCTTACATTTAAGTCTTTTATCCATTTTGAGTTTATTATTTTGTATGGTATAAGTTGGTGGTCTAGTTTCATTTTTTTTTGCATGTACCTGTCCAATTTTCCCAACACCATTTATTGAAGAGACTGACTCTACTCCAATGTATGCTCTTGCCTGCTTTGTCAAATATTAATTGAGCATAGTGGCTTGGGTCGATTTCTGGGTTCTCTATTCTGTTCCATTGACCTATATGCCTGTTCTTGTGACTGTTTTGAGCATAGTGGCTTTGCAGTATAACTTGATATCTGGTATTGTGATTCCTTCAATTTGTTCTTCTTTTGCAAGATTGCTGGAGCTGTTCAGGGTCTTTTTTGGGTTTATATAAATTTTTGGAGTGTTTGTTCTAGGTCTGTGAAAAATGCCATTGGTATTTTAATAGGGATTGCATTGAATCTGTCGATTGCTTTGGGTAGTATGGACATTTTAATGATGTTGATTCTACCAATCCATGGACATGATATATTCTTCCACTTGTTTATATCTTCCTCTATCTCTTTTTTCAAGGTCCTGTAGTTTTCGGAGTACAGGTCTTTTATCTTTTTGGTTAAGTTTATTGCTAAGTATCTTAATTTTTGTTGCAATAGTAAATAGGATTTTTTTTTTAGTTTCTCTTTCTGAGAGTTCACTATTGGTGCATAAAAATGCTATGAATTTTTGAGTGTTAATTTTGTATCCTGCTATGTTTCTGAATTAATTTATTAAATCTAGTAGTTTTGATGTAGTCTTTAGAGTTTTCGTTGTACAATATCATGTCATCTGTGAATAAAGAGACTTTTACTTCTTCTTTTCCATTTTGGGTGCCTTTTATTTTTTCTTCTTGTCTGATTGCTATGGTCAGGACTTCCAGTTCTATGTTGAGAAAGAGTGGTGAAAGTGGTCATCCCTGTATTATTCCTGTTCTTAGGGGAAATAGTTTTAGTTTTTGCCCATTGAGTATGATGTGGGCTATAGGTTTGTCATGCATGGCCTTTATTATGTTGAGGTATGATCTCTCTATTCCCACTTTGCTGAGAATTTTTATCAAAAAAGGTTGTTGGATTTTGTCAAATGCTTTTTCTGTATCAATTGTTATGATCATGTGATTTTTGTCTTGCAATCTGTTTATGTGCTGTATCACATTTATTTATTTGTGAATATTGTACCAGCCTTGCATCCCCAGAATAAATCCCAGTTGGTCATGCATGATGTACGATCTTTTTAATGTATTGCTAGATCAAATTTGCTAAAATTTTGTTGAGGATTTTAGCATCTATGCTCATCAGGGGTATTGGCCTGTTATTTGTCATATCTTTATCTGGTTTTGGAATTAGGGTAATTCTGGACTCATAAGAAGAGATTGGAAGTGTTCCTTCCTCTTGAATTTTTTGAAATAGTTTGAGGAGAATAGGTGTTGGTGCTTCTTTGAATATTTGGTAGAACTCCCCTGTGAACTGAGTACATAAATTAAGGGACATCTTTGGTAGGAAACACATTACTAGCCTATTAATTCTGGTGCTTGATGAAAGAATGTGTCTTTGTATTCTAAAATTTAAAACACAATATGACAAGACAGCACCTGCCACCCCAAATCACAATGTGTCTACATTAATAAACACCATTTGTGATGCTGCTGGAAGAAATTCAAGAAATATGAAATCCCAGAAGAAGAAGAGGTTTACATTTTAGAAATGATCCTACAGCTTTTCTGCTCAGAAGACCATTATGTCTTCAGCAAAGGCAATGACACTGAAGATAAATGATCTCACTGTTGTGGAAAACACATATCTTCCCTTCAAATGTGGTAATTTTAATGTTTATTTTTTCTAGACAACTACATAATAAATCTGTCTTGTTTCCGTCTCATATTCCAGTATTATAAATATGACGTTTTCACAAATAGACATTCATAAAAGTCAGCAAAGCATTGCTTAGAAATTCATACATTTACAATACCTGCGACCGGTTGTGACTACATAGTGTCGCACCAAGAAAAACTCTGTTTCAAAGTTATAATCTGAATCCCTTTTTATAGCCTGACACAGTACAAATGTATGCTGCTGGTCACAAAGGGAGGCTAGATGAGAGAGGATGGAAAAATATCTCAAGTAACCAGGCTGATTAAGAGGGAATTCTAATGATATTAGAAAATAAAGGGCACACCACACAAACTATGTGACAGTCAGAGGTTTACTAGAGTAACTATAAAACTTCTTGAATGTCCTATAAGGAAGCAGGAGCATTTACTGCTGTGAATTTAGCTTTTTAAAAAAGTGTAACTTTTATCCCAATTGTACTCATCCAATGGAACTTGTTCATCTTAGCTGCATCCTGCATATGTTCATGGCAGTTGACTCAAATAGCCCTTCAGGGATTTAAGTAGCATTTCCCCAATTACATTAATCTTTGGTGAAAATGAAAATATTTGCATTTTCTATGCAAGATACTGTAGTTCTTGGTGAAATTATATAAAACTTCTCTTCCTTCCTACCTTGTTAAGACTGGTTTGAATGGGGGGGAGGTTGAAGGGAGACAGGTAAGCAGAAGAAAACTAGGTCAACTTTGCTTCTCACCACATCTTCATTATTAATTCAACTACAGATGCTCTTTCCCTCCCCTCTATTCCACAGACAGCCAGCACCATGAGCCACTGCCACCCCCTCACCGCCTCCTGCTCGCATCAGGCCAACCAAGTGAATAAACCCAGGGAAACAGAAGGAAGGTCTTTTAGGACAAGCTGCATTCACTATCTAGAAGTAGCATTGAAATGTGCAAATTGTTTTCTCAAGGAATAGATGCAGAGAGGAAACCTTCATTGTTAAAATTCTGCCCCATTGCTGATCAGAGTATTAAATATGGTATTGTTGCATCCTTTAAGCTTTCTACTATAGTTGTTACCCTGTCTGCTCTCATGGATCTTGGGTCAAAATACACCAAAAATACAATAAATCACCAGGCATAGCTGTTTATTCCTGTCTATGCCTCATACTTATTGTGTAACATTTAATATATAGATAACCTGCTGAGTGCTTGTGTCTTCATCTCAAAGTGCAATTAACAAGTCCACCCTTTTACCTTTCTCCAAGGATGTGGTAAGGCTGAATACTTTTCCTAAGCTATTTCATAAAACAAATTGAAGAGAAAAAATTTCTGAGGTAAGAGTAAGAAAATACTCAATGAAATCAGAATGGTGATGTATTTGAGGCTTGTATGCAGATAGCCTGTGGAAAAGTAAGGTGAGATGCCTCAAATCTGCCAAATTGAAACAGTAAGTTAAAGAATGTTAATTCTTAGTAAAAGGAATAAAAAGCCATGAAACATCCAATTTGATGATGATTAGCCTAACGGAGTCTATTATTGGTTAACAGGGTAGGGAGAAGATGTAGTCCTAGTTGAATAGTCTGAAGTCCTCCCTTTTGAATGTTCAGACTGAGTCCTCCGTAGGTGTGAGTGCAGCTACTTTCAGGGACTCTGGGCTGGGTACAGCCCCTGGGGACCCGGCACAGCCCTTGGGCACTCTGCACTCTGACCGCAGCTTTCCTTCTGTGTCTGTTCCCTGGCAGAGCTCTCAGCATGGCGGTTCCTCTACTTCACTTGCGTCCACCAAAGTATGCAGCTCAATGGATGAGAATGATGGATCCGGAGAAGGTGGTGAGCTTGGGACTTGGTGTCTGAGGAAAAGGCTCAGCTTGGACAGGGGGTGGAGGATAGGTTGGCTAAATATACTCCAGAAACTGTAACTTCTCAAGCAGAATGAAATGGGCAAGCCTGAAGCAGCTCATAAGGGTCAATAGCAAGGGGATAGAATTGAGTATGACTCCCACTTGGGATCATATCTACTCTGTGGGAACAGGAAGAGGAAGTCAACCTAATTTGGAATGTTTCATGTCCTCTGAGTCTGTAAGTATCCTAAGAAGGCCAGCTTTGGAAATAAATGGGGGTAAATTTTTGCTTTTGTTTTTCTGAATTCTTTTCAATTTTAGTATACTCTCTCTTTGTTAAAAATTTATATTTATTGTTGAAAGTATTACAGATGTCCCCTTTTAGATCCCATTGACCCCCTCCACCCACCACTCTCCCCCCCAACCAGGTCTACTATACTATTGTCTATGTCCATGGGCTATGCATATATGCATAATAAGTTATTTGGTTAACCTCTTCCCACCCCTCACCCCGGCCCCTCTTCTCTTTGAGATTCATCAGTCTATTCCATGTTTCCATGCCTCTGGATCTATTTTGTTTGTCAGGTAATGGTGTTCATTAGATTCCACAGCCCCTGGGGACTAGGCACTCGGCACTCACTTATCATATAAGTGAGATTGTATGATACTTGTCTTCCTCTGACTGGCTTATTTCACTTAACATAATATTCTTCAGGTCCCTCCATTTTGTCTCAAAGGGTAAGAGATCCTTCTTTTTTTACAGTATACTCTCTTGATTGACTGTTATAGCCCTGCTTACAAAAAGAATTAATTGATGATAATTGCAAAAATACTCTTTGTGCCTTGACCTAATTCACTTTAGAATTTTTCTGTGATGTGGTCAAATGACCCGGATCCAGAACTGACTTTTTCACCAATTCACTGGATTGTTTTGGGTAAGGTTTTTTAACTCTCCATATCTTAGTTCCTCCTCTGTAAAATAAAGATTATAATACACTCCTGTTTCCTTCCTTGGGTTAACAGGCTCAAATCAATTATGAGAAAGTATTCAGAAAAGTATGAAACTGATATGATCAAATTACTGTTAAAGAATAAACCCCCTTTATTTGTTTATTTGTATTTTTATTTATTTGTTACATGTATATATTTTTTATTATTTTTTTTTACTGGGAATATATTCTAAGAATCCTGAAATGCCAATTAGAAAGAATATATGCACTCTTATGTTCATAACAACAGTGTTTACAATAGCTAAGATCTGGAAACAGCCCAAGTGCCCATCATGAGTGGATTAAAAAAGCTGTTGTACATTTACACAATGGAATATGGAGAGACCTGGAGAGTATTATGCTAAGTGAAATAACCTGGTAACAGAAAGACAAGTATCACATAATCTCACTTACATGTGAAATCTAATGAACAAAATAAACTGATGAATAAAATAGAACCAGAGGGATTGAAACATGGAACAGACTGACAAATCTCAGGGGGAAGGAAATTAGGGGGAGGGAGAGCAGGAAGAAATTAACCAAAGAACTTATATGCATATAAACATTGTCCATGGACACAGATAATAGGGTGGTGAAGGTCTGGGGTGGGGCAGGAGCCAGGTGGAGGGAGGCTAAAGGAGGAAAATAAGGGATATCTCTAATATTATAAACAATAAAAATAAACTTAAAAATAAAATAAAATTCATGAACTCTTATTTGTTTTAAATTATATTACTTAATTTTCCCAAAAGAGTACCTTTGAGCAGTAGGGGGTGGGAGCACTTTAATTATATTAAGTGAGATAGCAGGTTTACACAAGAATTATTTCTCAACTACCTTGAAATATCAGACTTTTTTCCCCAGAAGTATGAAATTTAGCCATTCAGAAGTCTCTTTTGTTCCAATGTGTTATATTTACTTAAAGGTCCTTGACTAAGCCTTTGGCTAAGTCTTCTTAGCCAAAAGACTAACATATACCTTTTACCAATAGGCGAAAAATATCCCAAACTTTGTGCTCCAGATGGGTGCCTAAGTGGTGCTCCCACTAAGGGAAGGACAGAAGTACCTTGGATTCCCCATCCAACAGCCAAAGATATTTACTTTTATTACTCGTGTAGTAAAGAGCCTTAAAACCATGTCATCTGAGGGATGTTTTATAAATTAAGATACTTTGTAGTGGATTTGAAACTTCTCCAACCATCTCCTCTAATTCCTATGGAGTAGATTAAAAACAAAACAAAGCAAAGCAAAACAAAACAAACAAACACCAACACCCAGGCTGAGTCTTTTAAACAAAGACAAAATTGTTGACTTCTTTGTGGGTGATATGATAGGTGTGAGGGGTTTAACTGGCTCTGGCTTTCACTTTATTCTAGAAGCCACTGTGATAGCTTCTAGTGGATTGAGTAAAATGTCACTTATAAAGAGGTGAAGAGACTGCAGAAATAAATGCGCAGGATAGAAGTAGTAGAAGCACATGTCCTCCATTTGTACAACATTCTCCAGAAATTCCATCCACCCTAGAATCCAGGGTAGTGCAGATTGAGTTTACCACAAAACCAGAATAAAGGTCTAATAATTTTGAGTTTCCATTTGTTGTTCCCTAACATTACAGATTAAGTGAGAACATAAAACTCAAGAAAGCCCATTTACCACCTAATGTTTTAATTTTATTTTAAGAAGAAATGTTTAGCCTCAGTTTAAATAGGAGCACATTTAGAAAGCACACTAGGCTTCCATCACATTTTATATTCAGGTTGCCTGAGGGGAGCTTGGATTTATAACTTTAAAGCATGTAAATTTTAGAGCCCAGTTATAAAAGACTTTTTACACCCCTAAGATGTTAAAGGTTATCCAGCATATTTATGTGACCTAAGTGTGGCTTATTTAGTTTTATGGCCTTAGATATTTAAAGCATTATTAGGCATTTGTAAAATATTTCAAAATACATTTTAAGTGGGAAAATGTGTTGTGTTAGTGGCACTAACATAATTGAAACTACAAAACTTTTCTGTTCACAGACGTAATAGGTATTGCTATTTTAACTCAACATCTGCTATGCAGGTTGCTGGTGAGAACTATGTCTAAAATCTGCTCACTGATATGGTGGAGGGGTGGCAATCAGGGCTGAGTTCATATGGAATTTTACGGAGATCTCCACTTCAGGATGTAGTAATGATAAGTGTGCACATAGAAGGCATTTTCATGTATAATGCCAGGCAGCCCAGAGTCCCTTATGAACTAACTGCATTTTCCTCTTCAGCCATACTTAGAAAGGTAATTTCTCTGCACACAGTGGGTATGCAGTCAATGCTATTGATCAAATTGACATAAAATAAAAAGAGTAAAATTTCCTCTTCAGAAGCCCAACTGCAGCAGAAAGCATAAGTTGCTCTTACATATGTGGGAGTGGACCCCATACATTTATGTTTCCTTTTTGTTTACCATTTGTAAACTTAGTAAAACTGTTGACTATACAATGTCAGCAGAGGGGGCTGCCCTCACAGTCCAAAAAATGACCTATTGATTCTGAATCAGTTTCAGTCTATTAGATGATACTTCTAAATGTCTCCTTTGTGCAACATCTGTGTTCTCTTTTCTACCAATAAAAACATACTAATGATTCTTTCAGAAGTGTCGGAGGAAGGCTTCCAGATTCCAGCCACAATAACGGAACGATACAAAGTTGGAAGGACAATAGGAGATGGAAATTTTGCTGTTGTCAAGGAATGTGTAGAAAGGTGAGGAAGAGATAATTTGCATCCAACTTTAAAGGAAACATTTGGCATTGTATTTTCCAAAATTGTGCCTTTATTTGCAGTCTGTGGCACATATGGACTTGGTTAATGCTTCAACTTCAGATGTAAAAAAAAAATTAAAGAAAGAAAGCCCATCTAACAACAGATTTGAGAAGTGTAGTGATTCCTGGAGATAATCTATAAATTAAGGACTTTTATTTTTCTTTTTAATATACTCAGCAAAACTTTGCCAGTTTTTTCAGGTAAGTCCTGAAAATATATTAAATATATATACACATTGAATAGTTTTTCTACACTTTTTTAAATCCTCACCTGAGGATATGCCTTATGACTTTTGAGAGAGATAGGAAGGGAGAAAATTCAAGAGAGAGAAAGAAACATCAACGTGAGAGAGAAATATCCATCAGTTGCCTCCTATACATACCCCTACAGGAAATCGAACCCACAACCTTTTGGTATATGGGATGACACTCCAACCAACTGAGCCACCTGGCCAGGGTTACACTTTTTTTTGAGACATTTTATAGAGGTCAGTTGTTCTTGTAAGTATATTGTACAATCATAAGATTAAATATAATAACCTTGTAAAGCTTTAAAATGTATATGTACTGATTCCAGCAAAATGGTATTTAGTGAATTAAAATGTTTTATAGCGAATGAGCCAGGTACTCTTGTGAGCAAAGGGAAAATTTAGGGTGAAAGATTTATCTGTGGGATCTCAATACCTAATCAAGGACAGTAGTTGGTGGCTACTAGATGGGGAAGTGACAACTAATAAAGCTATAGCCCAATTAAGGTGGCCTCAAACTCTAAGCTCAGCATGAGATTGGAATTTGTTGCTTAATTGAAGCCAGCAGCTTCTTTTCAGAGCTGGGTGAGTTGAGTGTTGAAATGTCAGGGGGGATTGCCTTATTCCTAGAGACAGCAAGTCCGTTGGCTTCTTTGGGCTCACCTGGGTGTGCAGGCTTCCCTGTTATTCATCTCTCCCCCTCCCCCCTCCCCCGCCCCTTGGGGCTGGACACCCAACTAGTTCTTCAGCACTGTGTGAGAACAATGCTCCTTCATGCTGCATTCCCTTTCAGAGAGAACGCCTTGGACTAGAAGCTTTAGCCTATAAGAGCCAGAACTTGGTCTTCGTCCAAGGGCTCTGACTTAGAAGAACATTAAAGCTGGAAGTCTACACAGGGCCTCACACACCAGCAGCATCCTTAATTTGAGCAATAGCCACTGATTTTATCTGTGAACCCTTTGCTATTCTTTGGAAAATGCTTCTTTGACTAAGGCAGTGGTGCCCTCATGAAGCTACCCTCCAACAGTGGATCTTAAACTTTGCTCCACTCTACACACGAACTGGGCCAAGATTTTTCCAACAGTTACAGTACACACTAGAGCAGCCACTCTTTGTGAGGGAGGACATGAATAATAATTAGTAGCTTAGAAAATCCCTGAGTTGCTACTGAAAGGTCACTTTTTCTCCTTTTTTTCTCTCATTCTCCCATCCTCAACATAAAGCCATTGTTGGGTTTCTGCCAAATATAGAAAATGTCCCATTACTTTCCTGGGCCCCACACATTAAAAAAAACAAAACAGGAGTAACCACTGTTTATTGAACAAAAACCATGTACAAGGCCCTTAACTTATGATATTTCATTTAATTATCATAATTTCACAGTATCAGTATTGTTTCTATTTTATACAAAGAAAGCCTGGAGAAGTTATATGCCCAAGATCACTTATCTAGTAAGTACTTAGCAAGGCATAAATCTGAACCCAGCTCTGAAACCCCTACTTTTGACCACTCTACTCCACTGCTTCCATCCAGGGGGCTCCCACAATAATATGGTTTAGCGGAGCCAAAGTCATACATACTACATTTGTCCTATGCAAAAAGGACAGAAATCAAATCTGGTGAGCCATTCGTAAGGTAATGGATGGATGTGTGTGTGCTTAATAATTTCATGTATACTTTTACTAATTATAAAACTCTTATTTCCACTGTAGCAGAAAATCCCATTGTTAGCAGATTGCCATACCCTTCAACTATGGAGTGTCTGGTTATTTGCCAGGGTTCATCATTTGTTGTGGCCATGTGTTTTTTGTCCTAGATGGTACATGGATCAGGATGGCATCTTAGTTTAACAGTACTGGTCTTCCCACAGTAGAAATTTCTCATTTTTCCATCTAGAATTCATTTATTTCTTTTTAGTTTGAATTGTTTATTTTGCATAAGTTCACATCTTGGGTCTCATTGTGTGAACCTTTAAAGTCTAAACACCAGATTACCCCCAAAAGTGTTAGTATTTCTCTCCAGTGAATGAGGACATGTAGCATGTGCCCTTTCTCCCCAGATGTATCATGAAACATTTTTAAAAATACTTCCCAGAGGTCTAAGAAAATAAAAGCAAGCTAAGGCACAGATTGCTTGAGGGTACATTCTGCCATATTGTATTAACAAGAACCAGTATGTCTCTCTTCTGTTAATAATATGTGGTCACGGAAGATTTTCCTACAACAATGGATGCAATAACAGTGCCACACTGTCCTTTATTTCCACAATCCCATGCCAGCATGTCTTTTGATAGTGCCTGCCAGGTCCACCTAGGTTTCTGCCTATTCTCCAGTAGCAGTTTCTCCAAGTGACCGCAGGACATGCTAAAAGAGTTGGTGGATTGAGAGGTGCTTTATTCTGAAGCTGTTTTCTGAAACATTTTGAAGCCCCAGAGAAAAGTCAAAGAGCTGAAAAGCACTACAAGAGGTCAGAGCACAGGTAGAGGGCTCACAATGAGGTGTCCTCACCTCTGGCTCTCCTGGACCTGTGTGGATTAATTACCACACAAGTGATGTAGTCATGAGCAGTGATGGTGTCCTAGGTGGCTCTTGGGCCTCTTCCTCACCTGCACTGCATGGATTTTAGTAATGTAGGCCTCAGAACTCTATTAAAATTCTAGCTGCTCATGATTCCTTCTCTTTCCTCTTCACCTATAAGCCTGAAGAACTGCACAACAAAACTATTGGCTTTAGAATGAATGTGGGCAGGCTCAAACCCACCCAAAAGAACTGAGACTGGAGTTTCACCAAAATAGGTTGCATCCACTTCAAAAATCTTCAGAATGCTCAAGAACTCAAGAACTATATACCTATAATTTGAAGGCATTTCCTGATGAAGTGGGATGGATTGGGAAAATGAGTCAGGGTGAAGAAGCTTATAGTGTTCTTCTTTCTTTCCTGAGGATGCTCTGGCACCCATGTTCACATTCAAAATAAAACTCCACTCTGGAGATTTTAGATCCGGGATGCCTCAGCTCTCTGATCTTGACAGCACCCCCCCACACACACACACACACTTATTAAGGAGACTGATATGTAGCTTTATTATGATTACCTGATAAACAAAGTGTGATGTTTACTAACCCTCTTTGCTAATGGGTCTTCCTGTCATTGTCCTCACTGCCACCATCCTCTGGAGTTTCCACAACTTGATTAACATATCTGGAGCTACTAATTCAGGCCTGTGCTGGGCATTTCTAGGCTCCAAAGAGAGACAAGACAGCCCCTCTCCAGGAGAACCTGCCCAAAAAAAAAACTTACTATGCAATTCAATAAATGCTGGGGTAGAAAAATGATTAAGAAGCTGTTATTAATTTTCCACATATTTTTAAAAACTTTCAAAACACAGCAAACAACAACAAAAAACACATTAGAGCAGGGCAGGCCCATCCTTGTCAGCCCATTCTCCTTTCCTTAAGCATTCTTCTGCCCTCTGGGTGAGGAAGGGGAATGGGAGTAGACTGGCTGGAGTTGAGAATCACTAAGTTAAACAAGACAGCTTTCTCCAAGCCATTTTTTAGCACAAACATTAAAAATTAGATTTAGTTCAAGTTGGCAAAATTTGGAAATTTCTTTTCAGTAGTTCAGGCTCTAACCTTTGGTCAAACTAAATAGGAAGGGGACCTTTAAATTGAGTTTCCACAGACCCGGAGGAAAACAAAGTCTGTGCTGAGACAGGTGCTGCTTTTGCTGTGGCATTCAAGGGTTCTATAATTCCAGAAAAGGTCAAGCATATAATTTCAGGAACAAGCAAGAAAATGGCCTGCATTTTCATCAGAAATGCGGGTATTTAGTATTTTCAATATACCAAACTATAGACTCCTTGGGGACAAGGACCAGGTCTCACTCATCTCTGTAGCCACCAAAGCATCATGCTTATAATTGCTTGCTGAATAATTACATAGGGACATCCTCAGAGTTTAGTACAGGGGTCCTCAAACTTTTTAAACAGGGGGCCAGTTCACTGTCCCTCAGACCGTTGGAGGGCCGGACTATAGTTTAAAAAAAAACTATGAACAAATTCCTATGCACACTGCACATATCTTATTTTGAAGTAAAAAAAACAAAACAAAAAACGGGAACAAATACAATATTTGTATTTGCATGTGGCCCGCGGGCCATAGTTTGAGGACCCCTGGTTTAGTATATGTGGGAAGGCAGATACTTTATTTAAAGTTTTATGTCTTTACAAGCGTTTTCACTTACCAACTTAAAGCAAGCAGTTAAATTTTTATGGTATACATTTAGTCCTAACACCTTTTTTAGACTCGTTTTCCAGTCTCAGGTACTCTCCTCTAAACATGTACTTTCAGTAATAAGGATTTTACTATGACTTTATAGTTCTTCCCTCAAGGAATCAAGAGAAAAATTTGAAGCTCATTGTCTGATATAAAATATTAGAAGCCCGGTGCATGAGATTCATGCACTCTCAGGGTCCCTCAGCACGGCCTGCGGCCTTTCGGAGTCCAGGAGCCCTCGAGGGATGTCCAACTAAAGTTGGCAGTTGGACATCCTTAGTGCTGCCACCGAGGAGGTGGGAGTGGCTCCTGTTACTGCCGCTGAGCTCGCCAGCTGTCAGCCTGGCTTCTGGCTGAGCAGCGCTCCCCCTGTGGGAGCACACTGACCACTAGGGGGCAACTCCTGCATTGAGCGTCTGCCCCCTGGTGGTCAGTGGGCATCATAGCGACCAGTCGTTCTGCTGTTCAGTTGATTTGCATATTAGACTTTTATTATATAGGATGAGTAAATCTAATTGAGTGTTTAATCCTATTGTGTGAGATTCTGTGTAGTAAACCCATAAGGTCCTTTTTCCTATTAAACCCTGGGACCACTATATCCTAGGCTTGTACGCATTTCCCACACAGCTGTAGGCTCAGACATAACTGGAGTGCTTGGAGTCCTGGGAGGGAATACACCAGCTTCCTCCCTGGGGATCCTGCTCTTTGCATTTCTGGCGATAGAAGAGATTCAGTCTTCCTGGATCCCATACCAGCCCTTTGCTTTGAGAACTTTAATGTTCCTCATTCCAGGAAAATAGAGGATGAAATGGCAAAGATAGTGAAATCCCCCCTCCTCACCAGCACTGTTCTGTCCATCCATCCACTTTGTAGAGGCACTGAATGGGAATGGAAGTGTCAGTTCCAGCCTCCCTCTCTTGGACTGCTGGCTTTTATTAAAGCAGTCAGTTTCAAGAGTCCAGACTTGTCTGCCATCAAATGGAACCTTTTAAACCATATAAGAAATTGCTCATGGATTCTAATCTCAGATTTGTGTTATCATATTTTTTTAGTGACTCATGAAAAGCAGAATCCAGCAGTACTTCAGCTTTTAGTTTTCCTCTTGATTCAGTTTTCTTAAATTTGCAAACAAAGTCTCCAGAAGCATTGTAAGAGGAGGCTATCTAAAGGGCCCATGATTCTCCTACGATGCGAGGAATCCCTTTGTGTGTGAATCATTTCTCTTTCTCATTTATTGTTTGACCACACATTTGAAATTTCTAACAATAAATCTTTCATTTTCCCTCTTACTGACTGAGGTGCTTTTTCTCCACCCCTACACCATAACCTTGCTGATGTTCTGGTGTTTGTTTGGGGACATTGAACACCTAAGCCCAGCATTTAGCCAAGGCCAGCTCATGCTTTCTCCATATGGCCCCTCTGTCCAGCTGTGGGCCTGAAGAGTCAAGAAAGATTGACTCAACATCGACTTTGGGCCTCTTAATCCTTTTATTCATGAGGCTGGAGCAATTTGATTTCCTCTGGACACCCCGCATCTCTGCAGAAGAGCCTCCCTGAGGCAGAGGGGTTTAGCTTCTCACATCTGAACTGAAAAGCCCTCTAGTGGAGAAAATGGGCTTCAAAGTGATTATTTTATTCTGGTTTTATTCACCAGATATAATTACAACAATTTGGTCAATATTTATTGTTTTCTGTAAGTCAGCATTATGTAGGGGACTGGAAGTGGAGTGGAAGTAGCATTTTTAGAAGCAAATGACGAGATTGGTTTCTAAAATGCCCTTGAAACACATTTTTAATGTCTGGCCTCTTAATCTGGTTATAGAAAATCACTCTCTTGCTCTAATCGTATAACTGGGAACCCTCCTCTCCCCCCCCCCATCTTTCATTTTCTGTAATGAAGATTTTAAAACCTTATTTTAAAAGTTTGTTCTTTATCAATCTCACTCACTGTATTCATTTGGATTCCTAAAATTGGCTTTTATCTGAATAGGAAAGGCTAGGCTGTCTTGGTTTCCCACCAGAAATGAAATGGCATTGCTTGTGAAGTAGTGGTTTATTATGGATTATTAAATAAGCATTGTGTCCTTTGATAATAAATATGTGTTGTTTTGCACTACAGTATCTTAGAAATGTTAACACAAGTTAGGAAGCTATTTAAAGGTATGGCTAAACCCTCCCTCCCAATCCCATCATGGAACAGGGCCAGTATTGGTTGGGATATATGTGAAGCAGAGACCCCAAAAGCTCAGAGTCCTGCTTTTAACACTGCAGTGTAGCTTTGGGAAAGTGAGTTGAACTTCATTTTATTTCTGGGAAATGAGGCAGCCATAAAAGGCCCAGAAGGTTACAGAAAGCTCAGATAACAGTTGTATCCCTTTCTACACCTTGAACATGTTATCCATGAATTCTCTAGCAAACCTTATAGGCTTGTACCCTGAACCAAAGTCTAAAGAGTGTGAACTGCTTCTTTATAGAGTTTTCAGTGTGATCATATGAGCCATACTTCATAGAAAGATAATCTCAAGGGAAACTAAAAAGAGGAAAGGCAGAAACTCACATCTGTTTTACATTCTAATCACATCACTTCAGAGGACTGGGCAGGAGCAGGAGTTATGCAAGCCAGTAGTGATAGTAGTGGTTTCATTACAGGTATGGCCACATGAACAGCTCACAATGTTTCTGTGCTAGCATATTTGTTGTCTTTATGCTCAATCCCTGAAAGTTTAAATATTTCTTTTAAATCTCAGAGGGAAGGGAAGGATAGGTGGGTGGGTGGGAAAAGAACCAAAGAACTTATATGCATATATGCTTAACCCATGGTCACAGACAATATGCGTGTGGGCTAGAAGGGGTCAGTGGTGGGGGGGGGGAGAAATTTGTAATACTTTCAACAATAAAGATAAAATTTTAAAAAGTAAAATAAATAAAAAAGGAAAAGAGTCATTCACAAAATATTTATACCATGATTCAAGGTGGATGGGATAAGATATAAATCCTTAACAAGATGATTTATTATATCTGAAATTAAGTTTATTTTTTTAAAAATCTCTCTCTTTGCAGGTCAACTGCTAGGGAGTATGCTCTGAAAATTATCAAGAAAAGCAAATGTCGAGGCAAAGTATGTATAAAGTTTATTTTTATGAAAATACAGGTATTCAGGGGATAGAAAGGAACAAAGCTCAGCTCCTAAATAAACATAAATTCACCCCCATTTGTTGCATTTTGGTGGAATAGAAAGTTATATACTAATTAGATTATAACTTTATTTTATAAATAGTCCTGGAATAAAAGTTAGCTAAAATGGTTTGATGTTATTTTTTTTCTTATCTTTATTTGCTTATTTGTTTACTTTTTCCCATTACTTTTGTGATCTTAATTTTCTTTCTTTCCTTCTACATGAACTTATAGTTATTGTGATGGGTTCTGAAATTACGAGCATCATCTAAAAACCTTCAATATCTTTTGACAATTCTAGGCTATCTGTGTATCAGAATCTAAGATATACTCATTATATTTGACCAAAATACATGTCCCTTGAACTTCACATAGTAGAGTTTTTCTCATGTTGAGTTAGCTTCTCCCATGTTTGGATGTGAGTATTGATTAAGATCACTTCTCCTTTGGACAGGAGCACATGATCCAGAGCGAGGTGTCTATCTTAAGAAGAGTGAAGCATCCCAATATTGTTCTTCTGATTGAAGAGATGGATGTGCCAACTGAACTGTATCTTGTTATGGAATTGGTAAAGGTATGTATTTTGGGAAAAGAAATAAACCTGTTTAAGCAATCACACTTTTCTCTATCATACAGTTCTTTATTTCCTCTCATCAATATTCAGCCTCTCATTTCAATACATTAGCATCATGGTTAAGATTATTAATTAGAATTATACCACAAAAGTTCAAATCCCAGCCTTTACCTAAATAGTTCCCTGACCTTGGGATACCTCTCTGTGTTTCAGTTCCCTTATATGGAAAATAGTAGTACTTACCTAGGAGTGATATTGTGGGGATAAGAGGAATGGCTCCCACAAGTTTGTGTGACACAGAAAGTATTAGATACCAATATGATCATTGTTGTTATTGTTATAGTAGAAATTGTTCACTTTTCATGAACTACATCCAAATGTGTTACCCATTTCTATAAAAACAAGCTTTAAGCTTTAGTCACCAACATAATGGAAAAATAGCACAGTCCTAACAATAATGTGAATAGTCTACCACCTTTCAGTGAATGTTGCCATCTCATCTTGTCACATAACTATATTTTTATTCTATTAAATCATAGGATATAGAAATGGCTAAATATTGATAATGATTGCATGTAAATGAAAGATGACTTGCCTATTTCCTCTACTTCCATATGTGAAATTTTTAGTAATTAGACTAAATATTGAATGTTTAGTTTTCATGTAGTTATATTTTTTCTCGAGTTGTATTTTTCTCAAGTCTTTTGTATTGTGTTAACCTAATTGGTGGTGTAAGTAATTTCTACTTTAGTTGTGAAGTGTCATAAATTAGTCGCACCACCTTCTGCATCAACTGTGTGCACCATCAGAGAGAGCCTAGAATCACACACTGAGCTGGTAGCAGAGATCAGCACTGTGGTATATGGGATTTTCTTTTGTAAAGATTTAAGACAAATAAAGCATTTAATAAACTAACCTGTTAGTATATAAGAAAATGTTCATTCTAGAACCTTTAAATTTTCATTGTTCAAAGTTGCTTTACTTTAGATATATTGGTATTTTTTCAACTTAATAGTTATTTATATTTATAGATGGAGCCTATTTTTTCTATTTCAGGTTAAGATTTGTTTCTTACAGAGGGCTTGTTTGAATTAACACAAGATTATTGTCACATTTGAGGCTGAGGGAGATAAAAATATTAAATGGTTATTCCAACAACTAAAGGTTGATTTCATTTAGCCAGAAGATTTTTGTATTGGCACTGTATAGCCAAATAAAGTTTGGTGGTTACCAACATTGGAAATTATACTTTTTCGAGCACCAGGGATAGTATTTTTATAATGATGTTACTTCTGAGATTAAAAAAAAAAAAACTTCACAGAATTCCTGTTGCCCCCCTGTGTGCTATTAAAAATTGATCAGCCTGACACTCTCAGGGGCCCCTGTGATCAGCACTGGTGGGGCGTGTGGTGGTGGAGGGTGGCCCAAGTTTGGGGGCTCAAAAGCTCCAAAAACTGTTACTGCATTGCTTCCTGCTCTTCCTTGACCCCAGGACCTTGCTTCTCCCTCTAGGAGTCTAAGGAACCCTTCTGGCCTCCAGCTACTATCTGTCCATCAGGTCCGCATGGGTTCCTGATAACAGCTTCCTGGTCTTCTTTCTCTGTCCACCCAGGGCTTGAGCTTGAGTAGGGGAGGGGATATTTAATTTTATTAACTTCCCTTTCCTCATCCCTGCTTTTCAACCTTCATATCAGTTCCCAGGCTGGACGATTTGGGCAAGACTCATGACTACCCCCATTGCAATTCTATTTTCTGATGCAAGTTTTAGCTAAGGGATTTAGAAGCTTTTTGAGGGGAGGCAGGCTGGCAAAAAGTATAGCTGTATAATAAAAAACCATCAAGTTTCCTGGGAAGGAGGGATTCTAAACTTTCTTCTAACCCCAGTTTCTACCTCCATAGACTAGCCAGGATTTAGCTTCAATGAGAGATCTGGAATGGTCGACATGATTGAAACTACATACCATTACAACCCCCAATAAATTATTTCTCACCCTTTTTTTCCAGCACTTATTTTAGGAGCAAATTTCACTCTACCTTTTTAACTGCCAAGCTCCTTTCCCCTTTGTTCAGTGGAGTTCCTTTTGTCAGTTTCCATCCTCTCTTCATGTCTTTGGTTCTATTTGATGAGCCCTGATGGGAGCAGGATTTGGGTCCCCAGGAGGAGAGCCTTGGGTATCATCTATTTTTCTAGTAATCCTTTGCCTTCTGTCATTTATCAGTCTTTGTCCTGTGCTTTGATGGCCCAGGTTAATTTACGTTCCTGGGGCAAAGGGAAGTTGTGTTGTGTTGTGTTGTGGAAATAAAAAGTTTTATTTTCAAAAATACACAAAAGCTCATTGACCTAGTTTTAGGCAACTACAACTAAGTTAAATTTGAAGATGAGACATAAAAGAGGCAAAGGCTTAAGAGCTTAGAACACATTTTATGGGGAAACTTGTTATGTCAATTATATAGTCTGGTGACTATAACTAAGGAGGTCCTTGTGTCCTTAACAGACTTTGTGAACTTTCTCAGGTGTCCAAGACAGCCTGACAAAGCCAGAGAGTGTCTGTAGAGTGCCATTAGGTCAGACCCTTACATTTGACCTGACCCAGAACTTCTGTGAGGCCAGGTCTGGAAGTTAAGGCCAATCCCAGGCTCGACCCCTGAGAAATTTCACTGGGGCCATGCTTCTCAAACTGTAAGAGTCCAGTGGTGTGCTAAAGAGTGATGCAGATATAGGAAAAACCAGGTCTGAATTGCAGAATACAGTGAAATAACAATTATTAAAAGTCAAATTCAGCCCTTGCTGGCTACGGCTCAGTTGGTTGGAGCATTGTCCTATATATCAAAGGTCACGGGCTCAATTCCCAGTCAAAACCTGATGTTTTCTCTCTCTCTCCCTCTCTCTCTCCTTAACTCTTTCTCTAAAATCAATAAAAAAGCATATCCTTCGGTGAGGATTAAAAAAAATTAAATTAAATTCCCTAATTATTAACAACAGGACTTTACACCATTGCCTGTAGCAGTGTGCATGAGCAAACTGCCTATGTGCACAGAGGAAGGCAAGCCTTGTGGGGAAAGGTGGCCCTGTGGCCAGGCCCTAAGAATTCAACAGGAGTTAAAAAGACAAAGGGAGGCCGGCCTCATGGCTCAGTGGTTGAGCTTCAACGTATGAACCAGGAGGTCATGGTTGGATTCCTGATTGAGGCACAAATCAGAGTTGTGGGCTCAATCCCCAGTGGGGGCCATGCAGGAGAGCACTGATCAATAATTCTCTCTCATCATTGATGTTTCTGTCTCTTTCTCCCTCTCCCTTCCTCTCTCTGAAATCAATAAAAAATATATTTATAAAAGAAAAAAAAAGACAAAGGGAGTACAGGGGACATTCCAGGAAGGGAGTTCTAATGAGGACAGTTTTGGAGTACAGAGTGATCTGGGCTTGTTTTGGTGACCAGGGATCATGAATGTCTCTAGGTAGTGACAGGAGATGAGTTTAGATAAGTTAGAATGAAGGTCGGGGCAGTACATGGAGAGCTATGGGAAAGGAATGCTGATTCCTTGAGGAGAGAAAGAAAATCCATATCAATAATCATCTGGGAAGGTGGCAGTTAGTGCACAGGGTTCTTTGGGTACAGAGCCCATGGAGGCAGTGCAGGTTACCTGGCCACATCACAACAACCCAGGGATGAAAAACATTCATTCAGAAGGATGTGAACTAGGCATGCCTTAAAGGAAGGGTTGGTTGGCTTTATTGACTGCTTTGTTGAGGATGAAGAGGAAATGAGATTACAGGATGCCTGGAGCCTGGATAATTAAGAAAAGGGTAGAGTGATTGTGGGCCACCATATACAGCCTCACACATAGACAGCAGTGGAAACCCCGCCTCCTGGAGTGGCATGGAAACAACTTGCAAACCCATTTATAGTAGGCTTGCCTTGAGAGAAACAGGAAGTCCAGAAAGAAAGTGTTCATTTTGAAAAAAAAAATGCATGTGTTTCAACACTTTGGGTACTTTTGAGGCTGACTGGACAGTGAGAGCCTCTTGAGTAGAGATTGTACAGGGCAACAACATAAGGCCAGGTCGTACAGAGAGATTTGAAAACTGTTAGGCTATGAGTGCTATATCCTGCTTTTGCTATTTAAAAACAAAAATTAAGTCCTAACCATGCCAGGTAACAGATGAGCACAGTTGGAGACTATGCTCAGCTGTTTGGTGCATTGTATGACGCAAGAAGGATGAAAACACTGCTAGTAAATCAGTTCCACTTTTTCTGACCTGGTTCAAATAAATGGAACTAAAATTGGAGCCTAAAATCATTGTTTTACCAAATAACAATAAATTAACAGGGAACAAGGGAAACAAAAGTTCAGGTGAGTAATGGTCTTAGCAAACTTTCTTTGAAATTTCTCCACCCTCTTTCTTTCTCATTTTTGGGATGACAGTTTCTGGTCCTTTTCTCTGTTTCTTACAAAAAAGGACACCATTAAAAAAGAAAACACTACTCCCACCCCAAGAGAGCTAAATCTAGAGTGAAAGGAATTATGTGTGTGTGTGTGTGTGTGTGTGTGTGTGTGTGTAATTTTCACAGGGTAGAGGGTGTGGTTTGCAGTATTACCTGTTTCTCATTTGGGGTGGTAGGATTATGAATTTGAACTTCTGCTGGGAGTTGGTATAAGGCAAGTACCACACACCACAAGGACACCCAGATGTCACAAAGCCTCTGCCCTGGAGACCCTGCATTGCCCCTCCATGCTGGCTGAGGCCCATGAAAAGATTGCAATTACACAGGGTTGGGCAAGAGTCCTCACCCTGCTTCTTACTTTGAGCTCTGGAGGAAATGGCTTTTGCAATGGAGAGAGAAATCACCATAAAGTCTCTGGGCTTTTGAAAGGAACGTGACAGGGAAAGCCCTGGGAACCCAAAGGTCCTGCATGCGTTCATCACGTTCTTTATAATGTATCAGTCCCTCTTCAGGACAGCTCCATTGGACCATCTGCTAATGTGCTGCTCTGCCTGCTGCTCTCTTCTCAGGGAGGAGACCTCTTTGATGCCATTACTTCCACAAACAAATACACTGAGCGAGACGCCAGTGGGATGCTGTACAACCTGGCCAGTGCCATCAAATACCTGCATAGCCTGAACATCGTCCACCGTGATATCAAGCCCGAGAACCTGCTGGTAAGAGAAATGCAATTTCAGGGCATCTTGAGTTTCAAGCACTTTTTTTTCTATTTTCTTTTCTCTCTTAAAAAAATACCTTAAAGGCTAGTATTCAGCTGATCTTCAGTAACTATTAGGAAACTAATCTTTTATGTTGATCTATAGCGATTAATGTGCCATTAGGAGCACTCACTATTTGCAGGAGGATGGGAACAGAACTCAGGGAGTCTAGGGATGTGGGCTAGTCTAGGATAGTGAGAGGAGCATTTACATTTATATAATTTATCTACAGCACTTTTATGTTAGAAAGATTTATTTGGAAAAAAAGGAAGCACTTTAGAGTTTCTCTTAGTCTCCCAGATTTACATTCCAATTATACAAGGGTGGGCGAAAGTAGGCTTACAATTGTCAGTATAGGAAATAATACAGCCTGCCAGCATGCTTCAGTGGTTGAGCATTGACCTATGAACCAGGAGGTCACAGTTTGATTACCAGGCAGGGCACATGCCCAGGTTGCTGGCTCAGTCCCTGGTGTGGGATGTGCAGGAGGCAGCCAATCAATGATTCTCTCTCATCATTGATGTTTTTATTTCTCTCTCTCCCTACTCCTTTCTCTCTGAAATCAATAATAATACAATAATTAATTCCGTGTTTCACATACAAACAACTGTAAACCTACTTTTCCCCACCCCTGTATGGTCTAAAAGCTAACGGAATAAATCATCTGAGTTTTTAAAAACACGAGCCCCTCAGCATAAAAGTAATCATGATAAAGACTGATTTAAAAAATCAGAGACATTCTAACCCTCCTTACAACTATTTGGTTTGTTTTTCATGAACCACCCCACCCCCTACATCTCTGGGAAGATAGAGAGTTCCCCATGCAAGCAAATGAGCACTCTTTCAGGGTCTGTTGTTAAGGGAAAGTGTTGGAAAGAATTGAGAAGACAGACTGGACATCAGAGAGCTGCCTCTGGTGAATATGGGAATAACAAAATTTGTGGGCTATTCAGGCTGGAATTTTAATGAATCCATTCAATCCTCCCCTCCCCCAAGATGGTAGTTCTTCCTCTACTTCCATTATCCAACCCTGAGAGTCAAAGTATTATGTGACTGCTAGAGGCCCGGTGTACAAAATTCGTGCACGGGCGGTGGGGTTTGTCCCCTCAGCCCAGCCTGCATCCTCTCCAAACCGGGACCCCTTAGGGGATGTCCAACTGTCCCCGGGATCGGGCCTAAACCGGCAGTCGGACATCCCTCTCACAATCCTGGACCGCTGGTTCCTAATTGCTCACCTGCCTGCCTGCCTGGTTGCCCCTAAATGCCACCCCCTGCCAGGCTGATTGTCCCTCATTCCCTCTGCGTGCTGGCCTGATCACCCCTAACTGCCCCCCCTGCCAGCCTGGTCACCCCTTACTGCCCCTCCTGCTGGCCTGGTCACCCCCAACTGCCCCCCTCTGCCAGCCTAATCACCCCCAGCTTCCCCCCCTGCTGGCCTGGTCGCCCCCCTCCTGCCCCCCGCCAACCTGGTCACTTCTTACTGCCCCCCCTGCTGGCCTGGTTGCCCCATGCAGCCTGTTGTTCAGTCGTTTGGTCGTCCCTCACTCACCCCCTGCCAGCCTGGTCGTAGGCAGCCATCTTGTGAGGGAATGAAGGTTGATTTGCATATTACCTCTTCATTATATAGGATTAGCTTGCCCATCTCTTTAGAAATATGGAAATTGAGGATTCTCTTTCTAAAACAGTGCTTCTCCAAGGGTGGTCTAAAGACCCCTACATCAGAATTACTCCCAGGTGCCTGTTAAAAATGCACATTTTTGTCCTGGTCGGTTTGGCTCAGTGGTTAGTTGGCTCACAGACCTAAGGGTCTCAGGTTCAATTCCCTATCAAGGGCACATACCTTGGTTGCAGGTTCAACCCCCGACCCCTGGCCAGGGGTGCGAGTAGGAGGCAACCAAACAATGTGTCTCTCTCATGTCACTGTCTCTCTCTCTCTCTCTCTCTCTCTCTCTCTCTCTTTCCCTCTCTATCCCTCTTCCCCACTCCCTTCCACTCTCAAGTGAGGGTTACCACTCTCAAGTGAGGGTTAAAAACAAACAAACAAACAAAAAAACAAATAAAGCAAATTTCTGAGCCTTCTTGCAACCCTACCAAATCAGAATATGGTTACTGGTAACAGGGTGCAGATGTGCCTTGCAGTAGGCTCTCCCAGATGATTAATATCAACAAAATTTAAAAGCAGATGAGCACCCCAACACTTGCTATACAATAAAGTCTGATAAGATCTGCTGTGGTTGAGAACTATCTATGTGTACAACTTGTGCTAAGGGCTTTATATTCATTATTTCATTGAATTCTCTCAAGAACCATATGGGGGTAAATTCTATTACTATCCCATTTCACAAGTAAGGAAGCTGAGTGCCTAAGAGTTCAAAGACTGCCCAAGACCATAACAACTCATAAGTGGAGTGCCAGTATCTTAACCTGGTTCTGCCCTTTCTAAAGCCCAAGCTTTAACTGCTAGACTACATAAAGCTAGGAATGGACAGAGTGGTTTATGTCAGGCTAGCTATGTGCTCAGTTTTGTGTCAGGGAAGACGGGCATATGCCTTCATGGAGGTGACATCCAATTAGGAAAAATTCAAGAAATAAATACACAAGTCAGTAGTTCATTGCAATTATGTTAGCAATCTTGTAGCCACTGACTAATAAAGGCAGCTGAGATCAAATGATGCAGATCTGACTTAGTTGCACTTCAGATTCCACATGGCTGCAGTGGCTTAAACATTCTCCTCTGCATAACTGCCTCTGTAAACTGCAGCAACTTTCTTCCCATCTGCATTAATTATTCCTGAATTATGTGGGATGGTCCCAAGGGAATAGACTTAAAACCGGGCCTTTGTTTAAAAACTTCTCTAAGCTCTGAAAAGTCAGTGATTGAAAATTAAAGCTTCAATTAATTGACCCCCTTTTGCAGGCCAATTTTGCTTTTCACCAGAGTGTTATCTGTTTCTTAAATGCCATAAATGATTATATAGAAGTGTTCTTTTACTAAAATAAAATTTACAGAAGAGTTGTTAAATATTGTGCTCATTCCAATATATTTTAAATTACTCAAAAAGGAAAAAGGTTCTCTCCATTTTTGGTTCCTAATTTAAGAAGGTAAAATGTATATGTACATGTGTGCATGTATGCCAGGTATACATATATATACACACACTCACACCATTGTAGTAATTCATAATCTAGGTTTAAAATACATATGTATGAGAAACTAAAGCAATTCTGCTTCTACACAATAATAATTTCTTACTATAGGAGAGTGTTAAGGGTTGGTGAGGTTTGCAGTGATAAATCTATTATGGGATAAAATAGATAGAAATATAGAATAAGTTTAACAAAATTAGGGTGACATCACTAATTGCACTTGAGACTTCTATTAATTTCACATTTGTTTACCTTTATGTGAAAAAGAGAGAACCATCATGGGGGGCACACATTCACATACTCAGGATTTATAGTCAGATGGAAAAAAGTTCAAAACCAAATGCATCACTCTTCCTCTGGCTTGTCTGATGACCTTGAACAAGTTACTTAACTCCTTTGAGCTCCCTTCAAGGGGATTTTATTAAAATAAAGAGATAACACATAACTAACTATAAGTTCCCTTTCTTTTTATTCTCCTTTTATTTGTAATAAAAGTAAATTACCCTTAAAAATAAAATTTTAACAATAAAATTGTATAGTGTAAACATTATATTTTATCTTTATTGACATTGTTTTAAAAATTTCAGTATTTACCAAGCATGGATTTGCTATTTCATGGCAAAATGTAGAGCTAAAGACTATTTTTGAAAAATGCTATAATAACTTTAATGTAAAGATTTTAAATCCATTTTCTTATTACAGGGAAATTTACCAAGTAAGTAAAAAGGTCTCACTGCATACTTTTTTTAAAATTTTTATTTTTGCATACTTTTCATTGCTGTTTTATTCAGAGACCTAAAAAATCTTCCAAATTTTTAGACTACTAACAAGATTTTTGCTAGTTAAGTGCTTGTTATAACTAGCAAATTGTTATTTATAAATATTAATTCAGTTATAGATTTCATTTTATGTAGTATCATTGTATAGACAGAAATTTAGAATTTTTTATTTTTTATTCTTATAGAACAATTTAAAAATGTTGTAGCTTGGCCTTAAGAATCTATTGTGCTCATATAAATGATTTGTTCAAGTCTAAGTATTTGGTCAGCTCAAATCATTTTAATAAGAACATATGATTTGATTTGTAGTGATGTTTCCAGCCACATTTTTTAAAAATATATTTTATTGATTTCAGAGAGGAAGAAAGAGGGAGAGAGAGAGAGAGAGAGAGAGAGAGAGAGAGAGAGAGAGAGAAACATCAGTGATGAGAGAGAATCATTGATCGGCTGCTTCCTGCACACCCCCCACTGGGGATGGAGCCCCCAACTTTGGCATGTGCCCTTGACTGGCATTGAATCCAGGACCCTTCAGTCTGTAGGCCAAAGCTCTATCCATTGAGCCAAACCAGCTAGGGCATTTCCAGCCACATTACAGGCGAAAATTGGTAACTGAAGCAATCTACACTAATAAAAGAAAAACATGCTAATTGACCGTACCTTCTCTATACCCCCAAGCCATGCCCACCAGCCAATCAGAGTGACTATATTCGAATTAACCCAACCAAGATGGCAGCCGGCAGCCACGTAGCTGGAGCAAGCAGGAGGCTTGGTTGCCCGGGCAATGGAGGAAGCCAAGCTTCCTACCTGCCCTGAGCCGGCTATGGCCTCCACTCATGGCAACAAAGTTTCAATTATAGAAGACAAATAAATCCCAGATACCTGCTTCCAGCCAGTCTCCACTGGGAGCTTGGGGGGCTGGGGACTGTGGCCAGCCTGCAAACAGCCATCAGCCCCTCACCCAGGCTGGCCACACCCTCCTGGGGTGAGGGTCCCCGCCTGGGGGCTTGGCCAGACTGCAAACAGCCATCAGCC